AGCGATTAAGGAATCTTTATGTAATAATTTAAATTATACTAATTATTATATATATTTTTCCTATAAAGTAAAGAATAAGTTAAGCTCAAACTAAATAAAATGCTGATGGAAGTCGAATTTTGTTATTTCTATGATCAAAAACCGGTAGGGCCTTTTATACTGATTAGAATGTAAAGTAAATACTTGGGTACGATTTTTTTATAAGATCGCCTAATTCTTTTGTTTGAGATTCGCTAACGTCGTAAGCTTAAGCCCCGCCTCGTCTCTGCGCGGGCGGACAAGTATTTTGTAACCAATTTATCCAGAAATACACTCGATATAAGTGAATATAAGTCGTTTTATTTCTTCCTTTAGACAAATTAAGGAGTGACAAGACAAACAAAGTAAGGAGTAAAAAATAAAATAACAGAACTTTAACATTTATTAAACTTTATTGACATTACATTTGTCACACAAAACTAACATAGTTATTTTATAATATCGATAAGTTTATAAATGTAAATTATTGTAGAAAATTGATCATAGGATAAGAAGAACCATCCAGAAGAGTCCATCTTTAGAGTCCTAAGGACTCTGGTACATTCCACATCATTCAAATAAAGTTTATCCCTCTTTGGTAGTAAACTATAGAATCTTATCTTATGCTTTTTCCCTCATAACTTTGCATAATTACAAGATGAGATAAATTTCTCATAATTATAGCCATGATAAGAAACAAATTGTTTTCGTTCAATATAAACGAAGTCCATAATCGATTGCATGAAAGTAACCTAACTACATTTTTAACGTCGGTAATATAATGGGACAACGCAGAAGATAATAATTTACAAAGATATAAGAATCATATTCACAATTATCAGCCAGCTGATTAAATAAAACATGGTAAGTATATAAGGATAAATCATGTTTGACTTCAATTTTCCTTAATTACATTTGTAAACTACTTTTTATTTAGGCGATAGGACAGAAAGCAGTCTTAGAAAATCTACTTTTTATTCTAGAAATGAATTGTCAAAGATATGTATTAAACATGTAACAACATATCTAGATTCTAGTTTTTATGATTTAAATATCTAGAAATTTTCTTATCACATTTCAAGACAAAAATTTACGTTTACATAAAATTCCATTCGCATTTATAATGAGATCAATGAAAATAATAAGTTCTTACAAAAATAAACGTCTTAGGCCTAACTTTTGCGCGACAATTATTTACAATAAATATATTGAAGAAAAATAAACTCTTTAAAAATATTATACGAGAAAATAAAATCTGTAATCTTGTTTTGATCTGTAAACTACACATAACTTTAGTTATAATATTTAAAAGTAACCCTTTTTTGTTTTTACATTGACTAAATAACTTTAAAATTGGACAGTTTAATTTCAAAGTTTTAAACATTATGTAGTATGAAAAGTTCAATCTCAGATTTTACATATTTTATAATACATATAATATTTCATATCTTAGTAAAGTAGAATATTAAATGTAAACATTTAGAACATAGAACTTTAACTTTATGCACGAGTAATATCAACATTTCTGTTAGACATTTAAATATCGTTTCCCTCCATTCTTGAAGTCAACTGTCATAATCTTTGACAAACCATAAATTGGTTTCTGAACGAGTTAATCAAAATTTTCGAAAATATTTTTAAATACTGATTGTACTAATAGTATCCGCCGGCGCGGGAGTTCCATTGGGTTGTTGCACCGCGGGATCCAGTAAGGGAATGCTGTCGGTCGTCCTAAAACAATTAAACCCTTTTGAATTATTGGTTTCAGTTATAAAAAGAACATTGTTCAACTTTTCAAACAAGTTGCAACAACAGGTAAAGCTTATTTTTGCTTATATTTACTAGAATATAACATCCTAATTTTTCCTCTTTTCTTGAGAATAGTTTACTTTCTTCAAAATATTGATAATAGTGCTTACCTTGTTGGAATAATGGTGGGTTCCCCGCCAATATCGTTGACGGAAGTCGAGGTCACGGCGGCAACGGGTGTTTTTTCAGCCAATATTGGCAAGTTAGAGCAGATTGTCACAGCGAAATACACGTACTGTTAAAGAAATTAAGGATTATTTTTTATTATATATTTTGGCCATATGTAAAAACGATAAAATATTTAGGTAGAAAAAAAACCTACAGACTCGATTGACTATCAAGATCAAAAACGTCAAAATAAATGAGGGTAGTTTAAAACTTACCATAGTCAGTGAGAGGACCAAATAGATGGTTGGCGTAGTCCAGTGCGCAGCGTTCTCAATGGCGGCTACTCCCATCACCCAATTAATAGCGAAGAATGGTTCCAGTACCAAGCAAAGGTTCAAGTAAGTTTTGAGATCATTGCCTTCGGTGCCCCAGTTAAATTTCATCCAAATAGGTTCAAAGTATGCCGCATTCCCACCATTGCGGTATTGTCCTTCCTTATCTTGGATGTGCTGCTGGAATTTTAGATGAATATAAATTAAAATAGATGTTTATAAAAGAGTTTATGTGCTAACAAATCTCACCATTTGGTAATATAAGTTACCAAATTGGTAATTTTTTATGGCAATACTCACATCCATTCCTTCCTCGACATTACCCTCATTGGGCAAATCAACGTTAATGTAGCAATTATCGTCGCTCGCATTGTAATCCTTGTCCAAAGTTTCAGAACTATCAGTATTTTTTCTGCTTGTTCCAGCGGCATATAGATTGTCTAACATCTCATGGTTTTCATTCATTCTAATATTGTCGCTAACTTGCTCGGTTCTGCGATAGGTTGCTTCCTGACGATCCAAAAGTTCTTGTAATCTAGCTTGGATAGCTTCTGATTGTTTCCTATGTACCAATCTTAAGCCGAGTAAGATTATACCGGTATTCAAAATTATCAGTAGCATAGCTGGTATCATGAAACCCATGACCATACCCTTTTCTAACGACATCCAACAATAGTGCTTAATTTCGTATTGTTCCATTGAAATTGCGTAGTTAAACTGTAATTAAATTTTGATATAAGGAATCGATTATCGATTGGTATCGATTGTATTACATTTTATTAATGTTAAACTAAGGACGCCGCACATTAATTTAAAAAAGTAAAGGGCAGTAGCTCATGTCGAGCTTTTTTTTAGATGATGCGCAATAAAATTGAAATTATTTTCATAACTGATTTAAAATAATATGGCGCTCAATTACTTCATGGTTTTTAGGCTGTTTATGAAGGTTATTGGTACAGTTTGGTTGGTACAAAAGTTCTATAATTTATTCGATACATACCATAACAACAAACGCAGGTATACCATAGGCAAATAGATAGTTATATTTCAGTGGAATTATAGTATCGTAAGCACAATATTCCGTTAACGCAGCTGCCATCGTCACTATCCAGGTGGAACAAGTTAAATAAGTGTAATGCAATAGCAAAGCGATCTTCTCGCAGACATAAGGCGATGAAGAACCCTATAAGAAACAGCACATTAATTTTCATTCAAAATTAAAGCGTAATAGCGTTAAAACATTTGCTGTATAAACTTTGGTGGATATTCTTACTTACCCCTATAGCTTTCACGTAAATAAGAGCGCAAGCAATAAAACAACTGCAAAGGTTGATTGTAATAGGATAGAGTTTACTCTCTTGTCGGAATTTCGCCGCGTAACCGCTAATCAACAACCACAACATAGCTCCAACCAGCAGGGTGCAAGATATTGCGGTGTTTATAACAATCTGTTAAAAGAAATATTATAATTTGGAACATTACTGGTATACCTAAACAAAGGTACACATTTCAAATATAGCATGCATAGGTAAGATAAAGTAGGTAAGTAAAATCATTTATAAATATAAGTAATTATGCAGGAATAATTCATAGTATTCTAATAAAGTAAAAACAGTCGAAAAGATTCGCAAATTGGTATAACAGTAATGTTAGTAATATGTTACCAATATAATCCATCCGTTTTTTGATCCATGGCAATTACTAAACCCGTAGAGGTAAGTCACACTATCGATTATATTGTGTTCTTTGAGATCAGCATCTGCTAACGAATCATCTGGCAATTCCACTTCGTTTGGTTCTTTATTTTCACCTTTAAAAGCTAAGTTAAAAATTACAATAAAGACAACAATAAATTAAGTAAAAAAATGACACTTAAAATGTATAAAACTTACCGAGGTTTTTAGTAAAATCTTCAGGATTAGGGTAGAGAGGCGGATTATCATCGTAAATGGAAGACGTGAAATTTGATACTACTGCATCGTAATCATTATCGTAAGAATTTGTGTCATATTCCGTACGTTCGTCGGCCCTTGGATAGGTTTTGTGGTATTTGATAGCAACAGGCTGGTACGACTTATAGGATTCCTTTTTCCGGCTATCGAAAAAGCTGTCGTCCACACTTGACCTCCTAACATGATGGCTTTTAGCAACTGTTTTGTTTTGCTGATTAGCTAAAAATTAGGGAATAATATTTAATATCAACTACGCACTTTTAATTTACAAGTTTTTTTTTCTCCACAAATTACCTTCAGCATATGTTTTTAAATAAAGTATTATAAAAATTATTAAAAGCGTTATTTTAAGGACAGAAAATATAGTAGCCATTTTTGAATATCGAAAATAATAATATCATATATCACTGCAACAATATAAAAAGCAGCTGTGGCCGGTTCACATTATTTCTCACAAAAGCACCGTCGCACTTCGGCACTTGTTTATTTTTAATGATATCGATTAGCTCAGCATTTACTAATCGATACAGCCTTCTACGTTCCTTTATACAGCAGCAGATTGTTACAGACTTTTAACATATGTTTTATTTCCTTTTATTCATATTAAATATATAATACTGTAAATTAATGGTTTAAGAGGATTTTACATTTAATTATAATGTGGATAGATATTGTTATAAAATTATGAAATTACCTTGTAAATAGTTTGGTAGAAACAATATTTTCTCAGATGGCAACATAAAAATTTTTTGCTGTCATTTGTCACCTGATCAATTGTTGTTTGTCGTCCTTGTCGCCTGTCACCCACCAACAAATTCAAACGCAATACATAATGCAATAGGACCAAAAATAACTTCAGGATGAGTGCTATTTTGAAATTCATCCGTGAAAATCACATATTAGCAGTAATAGAACAGGCGGTCGCGAAAAAGAAATCCCGTTTGAGTCTGAACGCTTTCGAAATAGCTGAAATACCGAATCTCTTGTACACCTGTTTGGACGTCGAACATCTGTACCTGCATAAAAATAAAATTTCTTCATTATCAGTGCAGCTAACTCAACTATCGAATTTAACTACATTAACTTTAGATTACAACAATCTAACCTCGTTACCATCGGAGATAAGTAACTTGAAAAACCTCGTGAATTTGAACATAAGTTACAATCCTTTGAACGAATTGATACCTGAAATCGGAGAGTTGGAAAATCTTGAAGCGTTCTGGTGTAACAAAATAGGGCTGAGAGAGATACCAAAAGAAATTGGAAAGCTCTCTAAACTGGATACATTTGGAGCGCGAGGAAATGAGCTGAAAGAAATACCTGAAGAAATGACAGCCCTGCAGAAATTAAGGTACTTAGTTTTAAATAGTATTTGTAATAGATTTATTTGTTAATTTTTGAGCTTTTTTCAGATACAATTGTCAGTAAAATTATGTGTAATATGGATTATTATTAACAAAAACTAGCTGTCGCCCGCGATTCTGTCCGCACGGAATAAAAAATAATTAGTAGCCTATGAGTTCTTCCAGTGTTCTACATTCATGTCAAATTTCATTGAAATCTGGAGATACCTCCAAATAAACATCCATTCATCCATGATCTTAACATTTACATTTATAATATTAGTAAGATAATAATTTACTTTATTTTGCATTTTTTTTAGTTAATTGTTTCTTAATACAATTGTTTCATGATTGCTAATTTAATCTGTATATATCTAAAAGAAGATATCAAAAGTGTGGTAAAACTTATCCTTTATTATTGTAAATGTATGTAATATATAGATAGTTTATATAAAGTTATATATTTTCAGATGGTTGACATTAGAATACAACCAAATAGAAACATTACCAAATACAATGGACAAGATGGAGTCACTTGTACATTGCAATCTGAGAAACAATCAAATCAAAGAGTTTCCCATGTCTATAATGAAATGTCCCGATCTCATGTTTCTACAGCTCAATAATAATCAGGTAAGTAAAAATTGTGTTTGAGTTTAATGTTTTTTTTTTATTATGTCTAAGAAAATAGATAGTATCTGAATTGTAGTATGTTCGACTCTCTTTGTGCACAATTAAAAAACCTTAATTAGAAGCCTATATACTCTTTCAGTTCTACACCAGTCTTTCCCAAAGTGGGCGATAACGCCCCCTTGTGGGCGCAGGTCTCAAGTTGCGGGTTATAGTAAAAGTTTAGTTTAGAATTCTCCATTAATATACATATATAGGCCACAATAATTAATTAATTTATTTTGAAGTTATAGTGGTTTTTAAATATGTGAAAATATGGGGGCGCTAAAAATATTTATTCACAAAGTGGACTGTAGACAAAATAAGTTTGGGAAACACTGTTCTACACCTATGCCAAATTTTATTAAGATCTATGCAGCCGTTCTGGAGATACTTTCAAACAAACATCCATCCATCTAAACTTTTGCATTTATAATATTAGTAAGATACAAATGTGTCAAACAATCTTTTTTAAGTCTTATATCTAGTAGTTCTTAGGTTTTTTGACATTCAGTTCAATAATATTAGATGTCAAAGTTAAAGACGTAGTCTATAATTTCAGATATCATCAATGCCAGAGAATTTTGACACCTCTCCGCTCACAATGTTAGAAATGATTGATATTAGATTGAACCCAATATGTAACCTGCCTCATCAGGTATGTGGTCTTTCTTAATGTGTACCCCTTTTTACATTTTGATGTATTGCAACATTATTCCAAAAGCAAAGCTCATACTTAGGGTAAAGGAAAATATTATGATGATTCTGTGAATGTGTGTAGTCAAATAGCATTGGGCATGTAAGTGGGTGATTGATTAATGATTAGTTACATCTAACTTTGAGTTTTGGGCTCGTTCGAGGTTGAACTGATGACAAACACAGGCAAATAGTTATAATGCAAGATATAAAGTTATTTAAATTTGAATATTTTAAAGTATTTTGCATTTTCAGATTTAAATTAAGAATTTGGTAATTTTTCAGGAATATCCTCTTGTTCGTTTCACTGAGGAAATAATACCTAATCCTCAACCGTCAAGTAGCAGGGCGCATGCAACCCAAGCTCTAGCTGTTAATGCAACTGCATTACGATTACCAGCTGTGCCAGCGGCCAGGCATAATGATCCACTTGTGATTGGTAAGTTTTAATAATTATTTGTATTTTCCTATTGACTAAAGAAGTTTCTTCAGATTTATTGCTTTTTTAAGTAACTCATTATAGTATGTATATTTTTACTATTGCATATTTCATCTTTCACAGTAGTACCTAGTCAACCTAACTTTGATAGGTTTAAAGGTCCAAGGGACAGATATTCCAAGTGTCTTGTAAGCTATTAGCAAGAATTAGATCTTTGTTTCTTTATGGAAGTATTGAAGTCATTCTATGTTAAGGTTTTGATAGCATGACATTGTATCAAAACCTAGAGTTGTTAGTAGTGATAGCTGCATTATTGGTTTGATGTAGAACATAGTAGAGTAGCTGATATACATAGAAATGTGGAGAAAGACATTTATAGTGTAAATAGACTTATTATTACCAATAGCGGAAATGGAACTGGACGCATCATCAATCGAGTCATCTGAAGATTGGGAGAATAGTGTCAACAGCTCGGAGCTGGATGTGCAGTACCAGAGCGACGAGGAACGCGCAGAGAATGAGGTGAGATGTTTCTTTTATACGATTATAATAGTACTAGCTCTTGCCCCTACTTCGATTCGGAAATTATAATACCCTATGACTTCAGACTATGTCCTACATCTATGTTAAATTTGACAGATATACTTGAAGCCATCCCTGAGATTAGCCTTAGTCTATGTGTTCTTCCAGACTATGTTCTATATCTATGTCAAATTTCAGCGAGAACCATTCAGCCGTTCCGGAGATACCTTCAAACAAACATCCATCCATATAATTCTCATTTATGATATAAGTAAGAAGTAAAATTTTACCCTATTTCCAAAATAATCCCCTACCTTTCCTATTCCTCAAATACCGGACGGTAATGTAAACACGCTAACATTTAGTTTGCGCAATTCTTCCAGGCTATAGGCATGGTGTTGCCAGAGCTGTCCCGCTACGCCTCCACTGCGAGCTGAATTCTACCATTCGGGAACTATTGGTAACTATACTGGCAACATTTCATATGCGCTCTCAAGAATTGAGACTTCTCTATTAGAAGTAAACTTTATTAAAATATTTTATGAATAATAAATATCAATAACTCGTAAGATAAATAAGACATAATCGGCATGTACTTTAAAATATCGTGAGTCAATTGCCGAAGCAACCGTACAAAACATAGTTGTCTCTGTCCATTGAAAGAGGAGAGAGAGGGATGACATGTTTTTGTACAAGAGCTTTGGCATTGGAAACTTGAAATGAATATTCACTAGAAAAAAAAAGTTTTTGCGACATGAATAATATACATTTTAGGATTTTTCTTCCTATAGTAAAATCCTATAGATACATTTTTATTTTATTTTTTTACTTTACTGGCTTTTAAATCAATTTATATGTTATTAAATTCGGTTATAATTTACAAAAAGTAAATAAGATAAAGAATATGAATATTTTAAAATACACGAATTGCTATTACTCAAGGGTTGAGAAACTTTAAATATTATTCACATTTTATGTCGTAAAATAATATCTTAATCAGCTCAATGTATACGTAATTCTGTACATAATTAACTATATTACTTCTTCATAATCTTATTACAATATCATTTTTTTGGCTGTGTTACCAGTCACAACGAATTTTCTACCAAAACTTACCAATATACCTACGCAAATTAAACCAACGATCAAATGTGCCAAGTTTATCGTCTTTTAGGCGATTAAAGGTGCTAAAAAGGCTAAAACAATATCTTTAAAACAGTATTAAAAATATTTAAAAAATGTGACTTATTTCACAAAATAGAAGTTAATTTCTCTTAAATTTATCCGCCTTTTAATTATCAAAAAGTATTAAATGTGACGATTAATCGCTGGTTATTTTTTAACATTTGCGAATATTTCTTTGACAAATTAATTAATTTTTCAAACTGGCAACAATCTTAATGATAGGTTTTGTTGACATTAGGAATCTATTTAAATTAAGTTGAGTTATAAATATAATAAATTGGATTTAGAAATTCGTTTAAATTAAAATTATACATTTTTTCTTGTGAGAATTTTACAAGAAATAGTTTTACAAAATTTCGGAAAAATTAAAAAAAAATTCTAATTAATAATTATCTTTTTTAAGATTTTTTTATTTATCTTTTGTTTCTGCGCTATAATAACAAACGCACATATTTTCCTTTAAAAATCAAAATTAAAATATATAGGATTAAGATATCATTCACATTTTCACAGTAAAAGACATATTTATTTAACTTGTGACTTATTTTATAGTAAAAGGTTTTTTTTATTACTGGTGCAATATTAGTGTGGATTTCCATTGTCGAAACTCTGGTATAGACATAAAACCATAGATATTTAATCTATAGGTGGAATGTTTCCTACAAGTTTGACGTCTTATTGAAAATCGATTTTTTTAATGTCTTTTTTTTACATGGCAACACTTAGGGAATTTACCTCAACACAATGCCTCCGGCTGCGTTTTTTTGCCTCACTTTTATGCTTTTGTACTATGGAATAGTCATCTGTTTTATTTTCTTTAAAAACCAGACTTGAGTTTTGACGGTGGACTTTCACAATTATTTAGTTATTTATTTTAAGTTTTAATTATTTCTTATTAGTTTTAAATGCACTTAAACATCTTATTGGCTAATAAAAACGTATGATCTTTTAAACAGATAAAATTAAAGGTCTGAACAAATAAATGAATCTAATAATATATAGAAAATTATTATTCTAAAATATTTTCCATTGTATAAAAAATTGCAATCTTCACAAAGAATTAATTACTCGGCGTGAGCGAGACAAATGTATACACAATTAGGCTAATGTGCGATTAAAGATAATTATCATTTAAATCACTTACTGTGGGTTACCGAGACCAAAATACATATTTAAAACATATTGTTATCTCTGTTTTGTCAAAGATAATGACAGGGATGACGATATGTTTTATACAGAGGTTTTGGTCTCATAATCCAAGGGTTAGTGAATCATAGAATTGTTTGGTATTTGAGTAAAAATTAACTTTTTTCTTTATAATTATTTCTTAATTGCTTTACTTAAATAGTTGATAAAAATATATATTTATGTTGATTTAATTAATACATTTCTAACGTTTAAATTTTATTAAAAACGCGTATTGTTGTCATTTCAAGTGGAATGAAAGAGATGGCGATATGTTTTTGTATAATTTTATCTCTAGTGGATATAAGTTGGGAATGTATAAATAAAATATATTCGTCAACATATTTCCTAATTATATGTAAAATATGCAACGAAATTAAATCGATTTATCTATATATGTTGACTGGACCACAAAACAATGGAGATTTTGTCACTTTGTTTACTTTCCCAAATTAAATGTATTATAATAATCAATATTAAGTCAAAATTTATTTATTTTCGGAATATTATGATTGAATTTAATATTTTCTCAGTAGACAGATTACATTTTTTTTTAATTTTTGCTAATATTTTATAATCGTTTTTTTTTTGTTTTGTTAAATATTATTTCGTATCATTATGACTCTATTGAATTTGCACATAATGTATGAATAAATCGCACAATATCAACGCAAACTGCCCTCTATGCCTTTGTAATTAAATTAGATAAAATATTTAAAAAAAAATCTCGCTTTATAATCTGTATACAATTATATTTGGAATTATAATCTGTACATATCATGTGTCAAACTATGTATAAAATATCTTTCATTTATTGGAAATAAATTTCCGAATTTCTGGAAAACTTGTTTTATTGGTATGGAAAAATATACGATCATTTTTTTTATTTGAAATAAAACAACACAAATAACCATTTTTTTTATTTAACAGTGGTTTAAACCCACAAACCAACATAAATTAACAAATGTCCAACAACGACGCGATTCGTCTGAGTGTTTGTACTGTAAGCAAATTCTAGTCGCCTTCCCTTTCCTACCATTTTTAAGCTTAGGATGAGAAGAGAATGATTTGCGGAGGGAATAACCTCTAAAAAAATATAAAATTTCAGTCTTTTAAGCTTTTTTCTGTTCCAACTTCTGGAATTCTTGTAGCAACGCCTCGTCTTCAAAGAATGGGAAGTCTGGAAACAAGAATCATCTAGAATTAGTTATATTTAAACGCAAAGTAGTCCTTAAATAAGATTAAATATAAAAAAATCTTCATATTACGCAGTTTTTAAAAATTTCGCCTTACCTTTACTCTCTTGCTCCAACTTAATTTTACCAATGGATTCTTCTTTTTTAATTTCCTTCTCACCGAATTTACTCTGAAAATGTTTTTTCATATTATTTTTGGCATTTAGTATCTGACTTATAGTTATTATTCTAAAGAAATTTTTTGATAAAAATTTAAAATTACTGGCAACATTTTCAAATGTCAATTTCATACAATAATCTCGTATCATTAGTAAAAAAAAATGTTTTATTGCATCGAAAATAGGTTATATATTTAAATAATTACCTTTATAAATTCAGGCAGACCTTCTTGCAGATGATACCAGCTCAGGATAAATATCAGTGATACGAAAAAAAGATTTGTTGAGATTCCTAAAAAAAAACATCATACAGGTTTGACTCGGAGTCAATTACTATTACGGATTTGAATTCAAGAGCTTAAAAACCTTTACACTTAGTGCAGGTCACACCCAATTAATATGAAATGAGAAATGTTATAAATCATGTTTGTTTTTATGTTTAGCTCTCGCCCGCGACTTTTCCAGCACAGAAAAAATAGCCTATAACATGACAGCTTTCATTAGCTACCTTCCAGTCAAAATCGAAATTACCCGGAACAAACATACAGACAATATAATTATTATTTATTTTACAAAGCAATTACTAATTCTTGAAATGTTTTTTTTTATATTTTACATACAGACATTCCTATTTTATTTATATGAATATATAACTGACCAATAAGTGCAGATATCCTTGGCCAGTAGTACATAATGTACCGTAGTCCGGAGAAATGCGCCTGCACATGTAACTCGCAACCATACACCTGCACGAACCGAGACTGCACCTCAATGTACGCGTCAGTTACCGAAAACTCCTATACAATGCATAATAAACCTTATTACTATCACATTACGAAATAAAACTGACATTAAAATCATTCAGGCTAAATCCACTGATCTGTATAAATAGATAGGTTATTGCTTTAAAATGTTAAAGCGTTACTGGCAGTCATTTATATCTAAATTATTAGTTCGAATTTACAGCACCGCTAGCAATCGTAACCTACAGCGCCAAAATGATGAAAATCAAAATGGCACAAAATAATATGGTTTATAACCTATCCATGTATAGACGTCAGCGGCTGAGTCGCACCGAAAAATATACAATGTGTTATATACCTTAACCCTATAACAATATGCAGTATTATTGAATGACAAACAAAATCGATTAGACTCGGACAAGTGTACATCATATACTATACCTTATCACCTTAAAAATAGGGGATATAATAGAATGAATCATCAAAATAGCTTTTCCTTGGAAATACCGACAACCTATGTACAATGTAAAATATACCTTATTTTTATAAGATTACGGTGTATAATCCATTGTCATCTTATTCAAAGTCAAATGTCAAAGTCGTAGCTTGTTAACAATACAAATATGTCAAATAAGTATGTAAAGAAAATGGCGGGTAAAATTTCAATATTCATTGTTTCGACGCGACAGTAATTTTTGATTTCCTTTAAACTGAAATTACAAAATCTTTAATTCTAACGTTGAATAATTTAAACTTAATTAAAAACAATAATTAAAAACTTACAGGATCATCAATAAAGTCGCTGAATAACTCGACATGTATTTGCTGTTTCTCCTCCTCCAGTCCACTCAGTAACATGGGAGAGAACACGGTGGTTCTTATCAAATGGTGCAACTTTGACCTGAAGGGAAACCTATATCAGTGTTGCTATATATAATTTTTAGTAAGAAGGTAGAGCTCTATGGTCGTGTGGTGAAACATAATTTTAAGATAAATGACACGTCTACTAAATTTATTAAAATAACTCTACAGAATCTGTAATAGTTGTTTAGTAAAGTGGACCTAAAAACTATAATTTGTGGGATAGTTTCTCTCTTCGGTTGCCCTGATTAAACTTACTTAATATAGCGATTCCTCGTTAAAAAAAATAGTAGCCTATAACATGCTCACATACATTAGCTACCTTTCAGCCAAAGTACCATCATAATCAGTTCAGACATTCCGGAGTTTATCTGTTACAACCTTGCGGACATACAGAGATTGCATTTACCTATATCGTATCATCGCAGCACGACAGGAAGATGACACAAACACTCCGCCCTTAGCCCGCAGTTGCGCGCAAACCATAAACATGCCTGCGAACAAACATCGTCTGCGAAATATCACATATAAAGACCAGATAAAAATATGTAAAACACATAAAGATTTCTGATTAAAGCTAGAGGAGAAAATCTGATAAACTTTAAAAAGTTTGTAAAAGGGCCGAAGCTCTAAGCCTGATAAAGGTCATGGTCAGATTTAAAACCTTATAAATAAAAAAGGTATAAAGCCAGTGACCTTGGCCAAAGTGAAGTCTAAAAACGATCAAATCTGAAATAAAAAAAAACAAAGAAGAGATTCAGAAATAAACCCGCCACTAATCTGACTACAAGTTGTAACTCGTTATATTTTTATTTAGTATTTCAATTACATATAGCAGAAATGCATTGCCGGTAAAAGATAAGATGATCTACGACCCATCCACAATCACCCAAGTGATAACACAATTGAAACTTATGCACATAATATTACTAAATTTTTATTCTTCATTTATTTTACTACAAAGGTTAATAGGTACTGTGTGTAGGTAAAAGTAATAGGTACATAATACAACTTAAAATCATTTAAATAAGTTAAGAAAGTTCAAGAAAGTAGGTTATAACGGTGAACTTCGACAACATGATGAAATAATGGAAAATAAGAATGAAATGTCAACTACTGTAAGAAATATGACAGAAATTAATTTATTACAATTGATGTGTATTTATATAAACTTGACATACTGACCATTGCTAGAGCTGTACTTGAATTTACAAGCTTTAACTTTCCACGCCACTACAATTATCATGTATTACAAGTTTATACTTAGAGCAAGTTAGTGACACTAAACATGAAGTCAAAAGAAATGATTACACTTCTTTGATATAATTATAATTTGGTTATTTTATTCACTTTAAAGTGTTTGCTAGATTAGTGGCAGCGGTCATTACGATATTTTAATAAATTCAGGCCACTTTATAAAAAACAATAATAGTAAACACATGCCTAAGTCTTTGTTGATCTGTGTCTCGGGCATGTCGAGGACCAGTTTTATCCGATATGGCTGTCCTGACATCAATAAACTGGTGCGTCGTGTTAGCTGCACATGTGCCGATGGGAAGGAACAAACTCCTATTTGTTCCTCACATGGTCTGGAATTAATATTTTAAAATGGTTTTTATTAAATTCAGCCAGTTTATTAGGCTAGATGTTTAACTTTTAATAATATATTTATAGTTTGAAGTAATGAAATTTAAATATCGAAAAAGTACTTACTTGAATTGTAAATGAACGGGCCGTATATGTGTTACGTTAGGCATATAAATGTAGTAAAATATAACATACATAAATATAGAAATCCATAAAATAGCGGATAAAAACACTAAAAGTATACCAGCCCTCAGTAATATCTCTTTTACACTGTTAATACCTTCGTTAGTTTTCTTTTTATAATCTAAATATTGGCGACCGAAAAAAGCTTCGATAGGTAATCGGACAAAATCTCGTAAAATTTTAAATGGATTTAAATACACTAGTAAAGCCATGTCTACATTCGAATGGACATTGAGACCTCAGCTTATCTTTCCCAGTCAAGGAAACGGACCTAGGACTGGTGGGTAGATAATACTTTAAAATGATAACGATAAAAATATTAATTTTACGACGATGGAGTTTATATATCTTTGTAACAATATTGTTTACACATTATGTGGTCCATTTTTACATTTAATTCAATAACTATACTTCCAAAAACTAGAATATTCAATTAAATAGACTTCTGTTGATGAAACAATGATGAGGTTTTTAAATTTTATCAACAAAGCAAAGTCAAACAATGTCACAGAATGACAGGCGACAGGTATCAAAATCGGGGGAAAAATTTCTAAGTACGCATTTTATTGTGTTATTACGGATAAATCTTTAATTAAAATAATTTTAAACTGCATTTAACGGACTTGAAAAACAAATTGAAATATCTTCTCTTTATTATAATCAAAACTTTTTTTAATCACTGAATTGTTAAACTTGCTTAGATTCTGGTTGAAAGTTGCGTTGCCTTTGTCTACAAGGTTAATCAACAAAAAAATAGATAGTCAAATTTCTATCTGTCAAAAATAAAAATAACAACATTGATAATATTTAAAATGATAGTAAGGAGAAATGTAAGAATTCACAATTTATCATTACAAAGAACGTTAAAATCAAGCACAACTCGTATATTTACTCCAGATTTAGCAGCGGCGGCTTACAAACCAGAAGTTGTGGAAAAAAATAGATATCATGAATGGGAAAGTAAAGGACTTTTTATTGCGAAGAATTCAAGTAAAGAACCGGTGTTTAGCGTTGTCCTGCCACCACCAAATGTTACAGGAAAACTTCATTTAGGTTAGTTTAATTTAAACATTTTATAGTTTAAATTTTCATCGTAAAAATTTAAGTAATCCAGTTTTAAATCTTAAACATTCTAACCTAAAGTTGTATCAATTTAAATTACAAATATCCCTTATATTGCCTTGTAAACTTTACTTCTGGTTGCAAATCAATTTTAATATGATAAAAATAATCTTTATCTTTACATAATCAAAGACAAAAAGTTAAAAACGAATATAATTCCAGGACATGCGTTGTCCTGTACTATACAAGATGTGATTGTAAGACGAAAGAGGTCAATGGGTCACAATGTCTTATGGCTCCCTGGTACTGATCATGCAGGTATAGCCACACAGGTAAAATATTATTAATAAATCTACCATAAAACTTATAATTCTTTTCAGGGTTCCATACCCTGAAAGGAAAACGACAGAACCTTTATAAGATCGTTGTCTGTCTGCCTGTATGTCTATTATGCCTTTACAATTACCACTAAAATTTTTCTAAATATTTTTCAGGGTGTAGTTGAGAATTATTTAAAAAGCAAACAAAATATTACACGTCATGAAATCGGTCGTGAAAAATTCAACACAGAAGTATGGAAATGGAAAGAAAAACATGGCAACACTATATGCAATCAATTACGTACTTTAGGCTGTTCTTTGGATTGGTCTCGTCAAATTTTCACAATGGATCAAAGCCATTCACACGCTGTAAACACTGCCTTCATACAATTATTCGAAAGAGGTCTTATTTACAGAAAGAAAGCGTTAGTTAATTGGTGTAACGCTTTAAAATCTACTGTTTCTGATATAGAAGTGGAAAATATACAAATAAATACACCAACAGATTTAAAGTTACCAGGTTATAAAGACCCTGTAAAGTTTGGCTTAATTTACAACTTTGCGTATAAAATATATGATAGTAATCAAGAAATTATTGTGTCTACAACTACACCGGAAACAATGTTAGGTGATACAGCCATTGCGGTACATCCTAATGATTTAAGGTATGTTTTAATAAAAAAAAATTCTTTTATATTAGATGTTCCTTAATAACATTTGATACTTTGACTGTGGGTTTCGGAGACCATAATATTGGTTAAAACATATTATATCTGTTTTGTGTAAGAAGTCCCCGTCTTTCATGTCTTACAGTATGTTTTATACAGAGATTTTGGTCTTAGAAACCCATAGTGAGATATAGCACTATTGAATTTGTTAAATTTTGCACTATTTTATTAAAATTAATTATTTGATATTAAATATATATTAAGAGTGTATTTTAAAATGAGTTATGGTTCAAAATATCTAGTATTATACAAATATTCGTTTGAAATAGGAAAACTATTTATCTTAATAATAAAGAATTTTCTTTTCAGATACAAACATTTAGCAGGAAAAAGAGCAATACATCCATTCAGAAATGATACCATCCCAATCATATACGATGAGATGGTCGACAGTAAATTTGGTACAGGAGCTGTCAAAATAACTCCAGCGCACAATAAAATTGACAACGAAGTCGCTAAAAGACATCGTCTACCATCAGTACAAGTTATAAATGAAGATGGTTTGATGCAAACATGTCAAATGTTTGATCAAATGAAACGCTATGAATGTAGACAAAAGTTGGTCAAACATTTAGATGAAATGGGACTTTTAAAATCCGTACAAACACATCAAATGACATTACCAATATGTAGTCGAACTGGAGATGTATTAGAATATTTACCTAAAGAACAATGGTTCTTATCTTGTAGGAAATTGAACAAAGCAGCATCGAATGCTGTTAAAAATAATGAATTAAAAATAAATCCTGAAAAATATATAAAAAATTGGATAAATTGGACCGAAGATGAACGTGATTGGTGTATTTCAAGACAATTATGGTGGGGACATCAAATCCCAGCTTACAAATGCAGTGTTGACAAAGATGTGATATGGATAGCTGCAACTGACGAGATATTAGCTAAATTACAAGCATCAAAATATCTTAGAACTGCACCGGAAGATATTACTATTGTAAGAGACACAGATGTTCTTGATACTTGGTTTTCATCTGGCATTTATCCATTTGCTGTATTAGGATGGCCAGAAACCCATAATAGTGATGATTATAAAGATTTCTATCCTTTAAACCTAATGGTAACCGGTCATGATATCTTAGGTTTCTGGGTACACAGAATGATTATGTTAGGTATAGAATTAACAGGACAGTTACCTTTTAATAATATTCTACTACACGGTGTGATTTGTGATAATAAAGGTGCAAAAATGTCTAAAAGCCGAGGCAATGTGATTGATCCAATTGATATTATTAACGGAATTTCATTAGAAAATCTTAAAATTAAAACTGATGGAATGTATAAAGATGGTATTATTAATAAAGAAGAATTAAATAAAGCTATAAATTATCATAAATGTAATTATTCCACAACAAAAGGTATACCAGAATGTGGAGTTGATGCTTTAAGATTTACATTATTGTCACAAGACATTAAATCAAATTTCGTCAACTTCGATATCCATCAATGTCATGCGAACAAATTATTCTGTAATAAAATATGGCAAAGTATCAAATACGTGCAATTATCGTTTAATAAACTTAGACCAATCGATGAAATAACACGAGACGATTTAACATATATTGATAAATGGATTTTAAGTAGACTAGCAGATATGGTTGATAAAGTTAACAAAGCAATCGATGATTATGATTTTCATTTAGCAACTAAAGCAATAAAAACATTGATTTATAGTGAATTTTGTGATGTTTACCTTGAAGCAACCAAACCGGGATTTGATGATAATAATATGGGATATGCTCACGCGCATACACTTTCGGCAGTTCTGAACACTTCACTAAGATGTCTAGCTCCAATAATGGTTTATCTCACAGACGAATTGATACCAAAAATACCTAATTTCGAAACAAATATAATACACAACTTTGATGACTTAAAAAAACCTTTCTTCGACTACCCACAGACAAAAGATTTTGACATTTGGAGAAACAAAGATTTAGAAAATCAAGTTACAAAATTATTAAACGTTATAAGTCTTGTTAGAGAATTAAAAGGAATGTATAATATTTCAAATAAAATAAAAACATCAATATATGTTACAACTAACAATGATACATTAATGTTGGATTTAGACAATAATCAAGACATAGTTCTACATTTGACTAAATGTGGGTATTTAAAAATTAATCTAGACGATAGCAAATATTCTGTATCTACCTTACTTGATAAAGATACTGAAATAAAATTAGCTATTGAAGAAGACAATGCAGCTAACATTATATCAGCCGCTAAAGAAAAATTAAGAAATAAAATTAAAAAACTGGAAGAAAATTTAGATAAATTGGAAGCTAAATATTCAAGTAAATACTATGTCACATCTGTGCCTGAACATACAAAAGTTTTAGACAAAGAAAAATTACTTATAAAAAAGGAAGAACTAAAACAACTACAAAGACTGATTTAACACCTCAAGTTCTCGGCAGGAGTATACTTTAGCAGGTTAAAATTGTAGTAGCATTTAAAGTGTTATAACAACATTATTATTTCTGAAATCAAGTCAATAAAGCTAACCATTCTTTAAATATATAGGTATAAGAATTCAGTTATTTATTCTATATATAAAATGTTTAATAAATCGTTCTTTAT